TGGACTCTGATCTGGGAGAACCGGGCTTGATTCCCCACTCCTCCACTTGCACCTGCTGGATGACCTTTAGCAAGCTGTAGTTCTAGCACAGCTGTCCTTGAAAAAGAGCAGTTTCTGTCAGAGCTCTCTCAGCCCCACCCACCTCACAGGGTGTCTGTTGTGGGGAGGGGAAGGGAAAGGAGTTTGTAAGCCACTCTGAGACTCCCTTGGGTAGTGAAGGGCAGGGTATAAATCCAATATCCTCCTCCTCCTCCTCCTCTTCTTCTTCCTCCTCCTCCTCTGGATATTAGAAATCCGGAATTACCAAAGATAATGCCTGTTGAGGCTTCTTTTTTAACACACTAATGAATTAAAGTGAGAAATAAACATCCAGGCAATGCCATCAGACACCTTTGACCCTCAGTCACTGACTTCCTCTGGAATTCTTCCTTTGCAACACCCCCCCCTTCAATTTTGAGTTCTTTTGTTGTGGCTCTCAAACCTGTTGTGTTTGTCTGTTTCCTCAGAGTCCCAAGATCCCTTTCTCTGACCTGGCCGATGATGAAAAGATCTTTAATGGGGGCGATACCATGTGGCAGGAACAGAACCAGGAGCACGCCTTGCTGTCGGAAATCACGGAAGAGGACGTGGAGGCGATCCGCCAGAGGGAAGAAGCCGTACAGAAGATCGAGGTGAGTGATCAGTGCTGGCAGAAAAGAGGGGAGACTGAAGGGGCTTGTTATCTCTGTCCCCAAGGCAGGCTGGAGGAAGACAAAGAAAGGTAGGATGCACGCAGGCCGTCCAGAGAACCCTACTGGCGGTAAAAAAAAATCTTCTGCCACTTTCTTTGCAGGTCTTTGCCCAGTCTGCCCAGTTCAAAACTGCCCCCCAAGTAGTTTGATGTGGATGCTATTTTTTGGTAGCGTGATGTGCTGTGAAAACCGTCCTTTGGCTTGGAGAAAAGCCGTCTCGACTGCTTTGTGTGTGCATTTATTTCTCCTGCTTTGCCTTTGTGTACCTATCCAGACCCTCTTGAACATTCTAAATGAGTTTATACGTTTGGTTTAGCAAATTTAGAGTCCAGTGGCACCTTTAAGACCAGCAAAGTTTTATTCAAGGTATAAGATTCCGTGTACTGCTTCAATCCAACATGACCGACCACCTGGATCTATATGTTTGATTTGTTGCTGTGGTTTCCTGATAAATCTAAAGACCACCACCCCCATTTTTTCCCCTGAAGTTCTTTCAAATTGGCTTCAAAGTCTGCAGAAATTTCTACAAACATTTTGCATGAATAACATGCCTTCAAATGAGGCCTGCCAAGTCTGAGTTGGGAAATGCTTGGAAATTTGGGGGTGAAGACTTGGGGAGGGACCTCAAGGGGGGTAGAAAGGCAACAAAGGATCCTCAGTGGTAAATTCCAGGAGACCTCCAGACCTCACCTGGAGGTTGGCAACCCTGCTCAAAGCTCATCTTGACATTCATGTTAGGCTAAAATCTAGACAAAAATTACATTGGACATGAAATGATTGAATTCACATTAGGCAAAAATCATGGATGGATGAGGTTTCGACAGGGCTGAGAGGCAGATAAAACCTACGAAGCCTTCCCCTGCATTGTTGTTGTTCAGTCGCACAGTCAAGTCCAACTCTTCTTGACTTCGTGGACCACATCACACCAGGCCCTCCTGTCCTCTGCCGTCCTCCGGAGTTTGCTCAACTTCACATTCATTGCCTCTATGACACTGTCTAACCATCTCATCCTTTGCCATCCCCATCTTCTGTTGCCTTCAGTATTTCCCAGCATCAGGGTCTTCTCCAGTGAGTGCTCCCTTCTCATTGGGTGGCCAAAGTATTTGAGCTTCAGCTTCAGGATCTGGCCTTCCGGGGAACAGTCAGGGTTAATTTCTTTTAGGATCGACTGATTTAATCTCCTTGCCATCCAATGGACTCTCGAGAGACTTCTCCAGCACCATAATTCCAAAGCATCTATTATTTGGCACTCGGCCTTCCTTACGGTCCAACTCTTGCAGCCATACATTACTACTGGAAATACCATGGCTTGGACCATGCGGACTTTTGTCGGCAGGGTGATGTCTCTACTTTTTATTATGCTGTCTAGGTTTGCCATCACTTTCCTCCCAAGGAGCAGGCGTCTTTTAATTTCATGGCTGCATATATATTGCATAGATGTGCAGTAATAAGGAAAGCTGCCGCTATGAACGTTCGGACTCTCATGACAAAAGGGGTAGTGAAGGGTGAGCGGGTTCCCTCCTCTGCCCCCTTTCACCCCCCGTTGTGTTCCATTCTCTGGTCTCCCATCATGCTCAGTGTTGATTATCTGTTGTTAAATGCTCTGTGTGTGTGTGTGTGTGTGTGTTTTGCACAGCGGGAATTAAGGTGTAACTAGGAAATGGCCATCCCCATCTTCTCAGTGAACTGGGGAGACTGTGGAAATTGAGGAGGGCGTCCAGGAGTTTTCATTGAAGAAGAAGAAGAAAACGAGGAGGAGGAGGAGGAGGAGATAGGATTTATACCCTGCCCTTCACTCGGAGTCTCAGAGCAGCTTACAAACTCCTTTCCCTTCCCCTCCCCACAACAGACACCCTGTGAGGTAGGTGGGGCTGAGAGAGCTCTGACAAAAACTGCTCTTTTTCAAGAACAGCTGTTATCAGAACTATGGCTGGCCCAAGCTCATCCAGCAGCTGTATGTGTAGGAGTGGGGAATCAAACCCGGTTCTCCCAGATTAGAGTCCGTGCACTTAACCACGACACCAAATTGCCACAGTTCAGAGATCATCAGAAAAGCAGCCCCAGGTCTTCAAGGAGATTCTCTAATGTGGTATAGGTTGATTCTCTAAGACAATCTTCCCAATACCACATTAGAAACTCTTAGTGAAGACCTCTGAATTCAAGACCCTTGCATTGTGGCCACAGGAGGGGCATCACTATGTCCAAGAGATGATGTTGCTGTTGTTGTTAATTTATTTCAACCATCCAGAAATCATTGGAAAATCTCACCCAGATCTTGAGTCACGTTGTCTAATGCGGTGTAGGGTGACTCTCTAAGACAGTATCTCTAATATCATAATAGGGACTCTTGTTTTATTTATTTATATTTATTTATTTACTTATTTACTTATATTCCTCAAATTTCTACCCTGCCCTCCCAGCTGAAGCCGGCTCAGGGCGGCTCACATAAAATCAGCAGACAACTACAATAAAACAATTGAAACATTTAAAACAGGATTAAAACCATTTAACAATAACACTACTGAGGTGCTCGGCATCCTGGCCGTTCCAGGCCCCTGTGTAGTGGAAATGCATTTCCACAGATATGAAACAGCATGCTTCCCTGTGTGTTTTGGCAAACTTGAATAACTATCTGGGTGACCTTTCCAGTCATCCATGAATCGCTAGATTGTGGAGAAAAAGTCCTCCATAGCCACTGTGAAGAAATGCTCCCCCCCCCCAGGTTTGAAATTAGCCAGACCTCGACTTGACATAATGACAAGTCCCCCCCCCCCTTGGGCCAGGGGTGGGGTGGGATGGGAAAGAGGGAGTTGCTGCAGTTGCTCTTCAGACGTACCTTCATACAAATGCTAATAGGTCTAGACTCTAGACCAGTGATGGCGAAACTTTTAGAAGACCGAGTGCCCAAACTGCGACCCAAAACCCACTTATTTATCGCAAAGTGCCAACACGGCAATTTAACTTGAATACTGAGGTTTTACTTGAGAAAAAACAACTCATACATTAACTTAAGATGATCCAAACAAAGTAAGAAAGCAATCCCAAATGCTTTCATTTACTTAAAATTATTTGGCAGAGAATTCGACACTTTAATGATGGTCTGGGCCTGGCTGGGGCGATGGCACGTGTGCCCACAGAGAGGGCTCTGAGTGCCACCTCTGGCACCCGTGCCATAGGTTCGCCACCACTGCTCTAGACAATGGCATAGTCAAGCTTCTCCCTTCTCCCCCTTCCAGTTTGTGAGCCAGTTTGGTGTAGTGGTTAAGTGTGCGGACTCTAATCTGGGAGAACTGGGTTTGATCCCCCACTCCTCCACTTGCACCTGCTGGATGACCTTGGGCAAGCCACAGTTCTGTCA